AAAGTTACTCCTTCTTTCTTTGCGTGAACATTTGGGCAGTGTTATGCAAATCTTCCCACATCGTGACGTAGACATGTGGGGGCGTGTTTAAACAAGGCATTTTAGGAGGGCGTGGGCGAGTCTTAACTTTTATTAAGAATATCTCTTTGGGTTTGAGACTTTAGTCTTTGCAACTTTAGGGATCTTATCTAATCACGAACAGCTTGTAACACTCCAAAGAGAAAGGAAAACTTGAAATTGCATCATATGACCCCTTTAAGTTTCTAATTGTCAGTTTAATGAAGTGTACACAAATTTTATTTCATTCTCTCTAAATATTCATAACAAAGTCAATACAGTGAACACAACAGAAATAATAAAAATACAATTATTTTACCCGCTTTTCCAGTAAAAATAAAATACAAATATTTATAATAATTGTAATAATAATCATTGTTTTACTGGAAAGCATTACATATTTTTGTATTTGTTCAAATTATTATATTAAGATGATCATATATAAAAATGTACCTGATAATCAAAAGCACGACCTATTGCATCTTACACTTGTTTCAGCCAAATTTAGACAAGTCTATGCTTAAACAAGGAAAATTCATACAAATTGTTGTAATAAGAGGTGTACTGCCAGATTAATGTTAAATATAAAAAGGTGAAATGTGTTAGATGCCAGTAGTGATTCCTTACGTCCTAGTTTGTCATGCAAGAAGTTGTCAATTATAATCTGGACAGTTGAAAGCTTGCTTGCTTGCATAAAGCACATTCAGTCATCTTTTGATTAAGGATATATTATGCACAAACTAACCACTTTAGAGTTTGTGAGGATGTATACTGGTTGAGAAAAAAAAAAAAAAAGTCTGTTTGAGCCTTTTTTTTTTTTTTATTCCCCGTCCAATACATCTTTACACGTTAGATGATTTGTGTATACGATCAGTAAAACACCATGCAAAATTACAGCAGTAGACCGCAAAACGTAGTTGTTTGAATCAAGGTAAAAATTTTAATGTGCAGACTTCCTCTGTGTAACCTAGCAACAGTGGCTTAGGAGTCCTCGACTTGACAGTTGATCAGTGTGTAGGAGCAGTGCCTCTTAGCAGTACGTTTGCACTGCCATTTGAATTCCCATGTCAGCACTAGTGAGACTTTGTGTTTGCTGGATTTAGAATAGGATCAGACAATGAAAATGTGCAATGATACTTCTAAAAGCAAGTGAGATTGCATAAGCTGTATAGTATCAACAATATGCAGTGGTTCACTGCCATTGAGGTCAATTAAGTGAACAAATATATTAAGCAACGTTATCATTTAATTTTAAATCAGGGGTAAAACTTTAAAGTTTGATTCCATTTATTCTGTGTATGAGGCATGGCATTGAGCAATGCAACTAAAATCCCTGTGACCCTTAAGTGTTTTTAATGCTATGGCAACTGACATGGCACTGCCCTGTTGTACATTGTGCGTGACAAGTTATATCACACACTTGTAGTGTAGACATCTTTCTTTGGGCATAATAGCAGTGTTACAGTTTTGTTGCATTGCGTTGCTTGCAGTTTAGACTCTATGAGAGTCCAATGACTAGATCAGGGATTTAATTACTGTGCCAAATCAATATATATTTATTGTGATATATAATATAATAAAATAAAATAAAATAAAATAAAATATAATATAACATGGAATAATGTCAGCCTGTTGAATTATAGAAGAAAAAAAAATGCACACTGGAGGTGGTAATGTGTCCATGACTCAAAGTGAAGTCAATTATTCAGTTTATACCACAGTTAACACACATCAAGGCATTGTTTAGATGTTTCATTTCAAGACATTTCTCAGATTTTTTGTCCCTAGAAATAGATAGAAGAACTAGATTATATTCTCTAGAATTACTTCTAATATAACTAATCAAATAATAAGTGTAGAACTAATTTTTATGAATCTCATCCCAAGGTGCCATTGCCAATTCCAAAATGTTATTTTAAAGCTAGAGAGAAAGTAAAAAGTTACTTTTCACAGTTTTTAAGACATTATTGTCACTATAAACCCTGCTTTTAGCCCCAGTAAGAGGAACATTTTACATTTGTCATTTAGGGAACGCTTACATGACAATGATGTACTACAAAGCAGAAAAAGTTTTTTTTTTTTTTTTTTTTAGAAAATAACGGTATCATTTTCAAAAACTTGTACTTTAAAATATGTTTTCAAAAGTTAGCATTTTGCCCCCAAAACACCATGGTCATATAAATGAACTGTCAAAATGCATAACAAAGTTTTCAGTTTTTAGTTTAAAATGGTGTTGTGTAAAAATCACCTTAGAAGCATTCAACAGTATAATATCTTATATAATACAATATACTTTTTATATCATATTATATTATATTACATTACATTACATTATATGGTTACCATAGTACCATTGCCTGCGATTGCTCTATTGATTCTGTTGAAGCATCGGCTTTAAAACAGAAGTGCAGACAGAAGATGGCTGAGGAATTACTGCA